CTCATTTATTCGGGTCTGTTTCGACCCGAAACAATTTATTTCATGCCGGTTTAAGTTTAAATTAATTTTATTTGAACTTTTATCCAATTATAAGGAATTTTTATTAAAAAATCTTTTTTAGGGACCTTAAAAAGGTTATTCACCACCCAGCCGCCTTGAACCACGTGCAAAAATTCGACTATCTCGAAATTCGAAGAAATTTGACAGGGTAACTAGTTTCTGCGACACGAATCCAACGATGAAGTATGTTGTGTTATACGAGCTCTAGAGAATGCGTATTTCAATTCCGTATTGTAGTGACAAATTATTATTTTGCCCTTTGTTAGAAAAAGTTCAAATTTTTTCCGGGTTTTACAGTTGTAGTCATAGGCAGAGATATATATGGTTCAGGCTGAGCAAGTGCCCCCCTCAAAAAAATTTTTAGTACTTAGATATATATATATATATATATATATATATATATATATATATATTATTTTTATAATATATCATTTGTCCCCTCTAAAACTAAAGACAAAAATGCTACGCCTACCAACTCCACCCAAAACAAAATTAAAAAACCAAGCTCACGTAAAATAAAAAAAAAACTATGGGTCCATATTGTTGAAATCTGAGTATCAAACAAAAAATTAAAACTTAATCACGTTAAATTACGACTCAAATAGATTGAGTTGTGACTCAATAGAATTGAGTTATGATTGATCCCCAAAACTTGGGATAGATTCCAAATTGTTGAAATTTGGCATCGATCCAATTTTTTAATTGATTGAGTTGCCAGTTGATGATGGTGTATCATATCTTTTTAGTTTTTAATGAGTATGGTATGAGTTTTAGATTTTTCTCCAATTCTTGTAGTCAAATAGAGAATGTTGAGTAGTATTGTAAAGACAAATAGAACAATGAGACACATTTTTTTATTTTACTAAGACTTTCTCCAAATGACCTTAATGTTATTATTTATGAATTTTTGCAAGTAAAAGTTTCTTCAATTGACCTTCATTTAACTTCTTCTTTTTTTTTTTTCGAGAAATCACTACTATTTTTATTTATCTGTTAATTGATTTTAAATTTTTTTAAATGAATTGCTAAATTTTATTAAATGAATTGTTAAGTTTTATTTACAAATCGCTGCAAATAACCTTAATTTTATTAAATTTTTTTACTATGTTTAGCTCTTAAATTTTAGTTTAATAATTTTACTATGTTAATATATAAGTGTGTTTGGAACATCATTTATTGAATAAATTTAATGAATTGTTAGTGAATAACTGATATTTTTTAATTACAAAAATGACAATTAACTACATTTTTTTACGACGATGATAATTAGTCATTTTTTGTACCTCTACAATATGTATTATTTTTTGGCATTTTGTTTTTGTACATATAATAAATTTAAATATAATTATATTGTGTGATTGGTTGAAAAGAAAAAAATTGTAATGCATAATTAATGTGCTTATTCTAAACAAATTTTTTGTCTCTACCCCCGACTATAGTGGACAAACACTCTTCCACGGCCATGAAAACCTATATCCAGCAATTTAACACAGTAAAATCATTATATATATATATGTATTCAAATTATTGGAAAAATTACAAAAAAAAAGACATATAAAAAAACAGAATAATATCATAGTAAAATACCAAAAATATATTGCGGTTAATTTGCTAAGGAATCCGTGGGCAGCCCACACGTCCCTGTTTTGATCTCCCCAACTAGTTAAAAATGCAAAGAAATTTGGAAAAACGGAAGTGTGGAAGACTCTATTTCAAAAACACTATCGTTTTAAAGTTCTCTTTGTGTTTCTGAACATCTCTGAAGTTCTCAGATTCCATTCGTATTGGAATCTCGCACACGAAACTTGACACATGTAAAGCGTGTGATCGAGATCATGTGTTTTAGACGGTGAACAAATGCCTTGAAAACAGTACTATTATTTTAATTCAACTATTAGATTTGGATAAATATTGAATGATTTTTGACATAAAAGTATTGCTATATTCGTCACTCCATGTTGTACACATATGACTAAATTTGTAGTAAAAACTAGCTTTTGTTGAATTACTTGTGTACACCATCGAGCGTTAGATCAATTGGTGAGGGATTGTTTTAGTTTAACTAAGGTCTCGAGTTTGAGTCTTGGAAACACAACTGCGTTTGGTAAAGAGAGCTTTGCCNCCGAGCGTTAGATCAATTGGTGAGGGATTGTTCTAGTTTAACCAAGGTCTCGAGTTTGAGTCTTGGAAACACAACTGCGTTTGGTAAAGAGAGCTTTGCCGCCCTTGTGGTCCTACCCGGCTCGAATCCGGATTAGTCGGAGCCCAAAATGACTTTCAGATACCGGATGGTCTGACCAAAAAAAGAATTACTTGTGTACTTACAATTAGTATCATTGTTAACAAATAAATTTAGATTATATAAAATGTTATTGTGCGCAAGCTACTGAATAAACTCATGATAAACGAAAATCTCAATACGAATTTAGACTCAAATTTAAGGTTAAGTAAAAGAGGTTCAAAAAATTTGTTCCAACATTTGACTCAAACTTATATCAAATCAAGAGAGACTCATTTTGTTACTTAAATGAAGCGAGATTGAAATCTTTAATGATGAAATTTCATCCTCTTTTAAAAATTCAACAATCATCTTTATTCTTTTTTAAATTTGGGTTTCTCTTTCGTTAAATTTGAGTTTGTTCATTGAAACTCTTTGTATTAAATTAAGCTTTTTACTCAAATATTAATTTAATTTTGAATAAAAATTTGAGTGATGATTAGAGATATACTCTTTTCCTAAGATCGTGAGCACCAATATTCTAACATCTGAAACCAGCTTTAACTCTACTTCCAAGTTCCAACCCCTGATGATCAATAACACAATTAGGTCAACATAACTCCAAACAAAAAGAAAATAAATGGTGACAAATTGGTATTTCACTTTCAAGAAGGCATTGATATTTTTCACAAAAAAGTGGGATGAACTTTTTATTTTTTGGAAAAATTGTAAAGGGGTATACAAAATTAGAGTTATTTGTCAAAAAGTACATAACTCTTAATGTTAGGTTATTAAATCCTTATTTTTAGAACTTAATTATGTCAAAGTACACAATTTGATTTTTTTTGTGATTTTCTTTGGACATATTTGTTCTCTCTTAAATCATGCATATTTCTTTTGACAGCTAAAATTTTTATTTTTTTGACCAAAAAAAAAAAATTAGATTTTTGATTTTGTTTTATTGTATTAAAGATTTCCTAATATAATGAAAGAATTATATTATCACAAGATTTGCATATAATGTTGATTGTGTATATCTCTACCATTTTAAATTTTAATTTTTTTGTCATTATCATTGTCAATAAACATCTCTTTTTCTTCTCCAAATTATCAGTCATTAGCGTTCGAAACAGCTTAAATATATCATTCTTATTATTTTCCGACGAATACGAAAAAGTTCAAACATATCATATTTCTTCTTCTACAACGTTTATATATTATCAGGTTGAACTTATACTTTCTTTCATTTTTTTTATTTTGTTCGTTCCACAGACTGTTAGTTAGTTTCGAGTTTTTTTTTTCTTCACAGTTTTCTTATTCGTTTCTATTTATTGTATTGAGTGGTCACCTTTTTTGTTAACTTTTCATCTTTTAAATGATTATTTGTTAATTTTAATATTTTAATATTTTTTTTTACAATTTTATTTTTGAATACTGAACACGTTTTCTTCTTCTTCTTCTGTATGTTGTTTTCGTGGTAGTTTTTTTCGAGATTAACAGATGCTATGTATTTGTTCAATTCATAATTATATGGTGTATGTAAAATTACTTTATAATTTGAATTCATATGAAGTTATAATTTAAAAGTGTATCAATACAGTATGACATTAAAGGGTTTTTAAAATTAAATGTTTAATTTTTGGAAATCCACAATCATAATATCAAATACATGTGATTTATCCCAGCAAAAAATCAATTATAATCACCAATAGAAAAAAGTGTTCAAGAATTATATGATTATGCTATATTTACAAAAATTTAAAGTGTATCAATGCAGTTTAGCAAAACAATATATGAGTAATAGAAACTAGAGTTTAAGAATTATACAAATCTGAAGTATATCAATATAGTGTAGTGGTAATAGAAACTAGAATTTATAGTGCGACTTTCTAAGATAAGATAATTAAATTCTTTAATTTTAGTTGTCAAATTTCAAAAGTTTCCGAAAACTATGAAACACATCCCTAAAAAAATGGAGAAGATTTATTATAGATTTTAACTTTTCTAAATTTTAGATATTTGTTTTATTAGAACTTCTATATATATATAAATATATATATAAGGAAACTTAATTTACAATAAAAGGGTATTTAAGTATTTTTGTCTTAAGTGAACTTTTTGACAAAATATTTTTTTTATGTACTTTTTGACAATTCAATTAAATTTTGTGGATCGGCTTCCAAAGAATCCTTATTTATTTGGTTCAATGGTCAGGTCGTCATAAATGTTCGGATCAATTTACGCGCATTTCGACTAATGCCATATCTAATTCAATCAAATGCAAACTAATAATTGATATCACAAACTAATTATAAAACACCAAATAAGATTGATAAACTCTACTATTTTAATATGTTATTAGATAATGTGGTTAATTGTAGTTATTAAAATAATGAGACTTACTAAATAAATATATTATTTATTATAATTAATTAATGACAGCATACGACATTAATAATGTGACGTCACTCTTCCGTTACATTGAAGATGCCAGCTAACGACGATAAGTGACCAGGTAACTTTATAGAATATAGATTTCGGGATGAATACTTAAATGGATACACTATGGAGCACAACAGTTTCAATGGTGAGTCCTGGCCCGAACCCAAAGAGGACACCCCACTCGAGCCCTTCCCCAGTGGTCTTGAGCCCATCCTCCAGAAACTTTCCTCAGCTCATCTAGTATGAACAACACACAAGCACTTGTCAAGTTTCCACACNCTCAATGGTGAGTCCTGGCCCGAACCCAAAGAGGACACCCCACTCGAGCCCTTCCCCAGTGGTCTTGAGCCCATCCTCCAGAGACTTTCCTCAGCTCATCTAGTATGAACAACACACAAGCACTTGTCAAGTTTCCACACACACTCAGCACATGCCTCGCGGCCCGCATCTTATCGGGCTTGAGGCCCATTCTCCACTCCACGTGATCAATAATGGCTTTTACACCCTGGTGAAAAGCCCAGAAAATTGAACTCCAATCTGATATTCCCAGGCCCAGAGNCATCTTATCGGGCTTGAGGCCCATTCTCCACTCCACGTGATCAATAATGGCTTTTCCACCCTGGTGAAAAGCCCAGAAAATTGAACTCCAATCTGATATTCCCAGGCCCAGAGGCTGAAATGCCTCAACAAGACTCTTCTCAATGTTGTTTGATATGAGACTAGGCACATCCTTACTGGCATGGAATGTGAGGCCTGCCTCACAAAGGTGTAGCTTGAGGGCATCTTCACTGTCAGGTATGATGGTTTGGGCTGTTGAGACTAGCACAAACAATGGCTTTTCGACCCCGGCCACTGGGCTTGACCCAACTATAATAGCAGCTGCACCATCCCCAAATAGTGCTTGCCCAATAAGGCTATCAATGTGGGCTTCGTTGGGCCCTTGAAATATAACTGCGGTGATCTCCGAGCAGACTACTAATACACGGGCACCATTGTTATTCTCCGCTAAATCATTGGCAATTCGGAGAACCGTGCCACCGGCAAAGCAACCTTGTTGGTACATCATGAGGGGCTAAGGCCGAGGAGTTTGGTGAGTTGGTAGTCGGCGCCGGGCATGTCTATGCCACTGGTGGTGCAGAAGATTAGGTGGGTGATCTTGGACTTGGGCTGACCCCATTCTTTCATGGCCTTTATTGCTGCTTCTTTGCCAAGTTTTGGTACTTCTTCAACCAACATGTCTTGCCTGGAATTGAGTGAGTGTGCCATGAATGAGCACATGTTTGGATTTTCTCTTAAAAGTTCTTCCGTCAAGTGCATGTAACGCTTCTTGATCATAGTTTTATCACCTGAAATGTCCACCAAACAATGAGTAAAAAAATCAACAATATTTTACCATGATCAAGTTGCTTAGATCATGATCAGATAGGGTCTGTTGTTAATCCAGTGACATTCTCTTCATGCACACATGAATACAAGGTATGCGTTATAATTATCCTCTGATGGTTGATTTAGTAGTCGAAAAAGAGTTGAGACATGAATCCCTACATTTGACTGTGTAGTTTCATTCGTCGCATAAAATTCGAGTTCAACCGATATATGTAGTTTACACGTGAAGTTGAGATTTGTGTTGTAATTACGAGTTCAAAGAGTGTATAATTTTAAGGATCGATTTCTTAGTTGACTAAGGTCATCCCTTACTTCATTCCTTTGAAATGGCGGGATAGTTGACAATAATAAGTAACGTTCATTCTCTTTGATAAGCTGCCTCTTGAATTACGTCTTCCCGCTATAAAGACAATAGCCATATGTTATCTAGGTGATATGGGAAATGGATGTGTAGAAATTATCAAGGATATCAAATCTTACATATGCGCCTAAACTTATTTTTGAGCTCCACCATATGCTCACTGTTTGTGACCCGGAAATAGTAATCTGGAAATGTGGCTTGATCCACACAATTTGGAGGAGTTGCTGTTCCTATCGCCATGATAGTTGCTGCTCCTTCACCTCGTTGAACCTTGCGAATTTCGTGGATGGTCACCATTTTCTCCGGTTAAAACCTAGGGTTCGACTCGTTTACTATAGGAATGCTGTGGATCAGCTGCTAGGAGAAGAAGAAGAAGGTGTTGGATTGTGGGTTTAATGTAAATCAAATGTTGAAATGATATGAATAAATAGTAAGCTTGAACTTAGGCAAAAGGCCTAGGAAATCACATGTAACATAGTACCCTATTTGAACTGGTTCTATTCGTAGCTACAAGCTATGACAGTGAAAATTGATGGGACATTGTTTAGAATCAATAAGGAGCCAACAACACTTGTTCCCGATGTCGACATGGGGCATTTGGTGTGCTCCCTGAATGACACGCAGGGCGGAACCACTTTTGAACCAAGGTGGGCATTGTCCTCTATAATTTTTTTTTTGATATTAAATATATATTTTTTAAAATAAAATTTAGATATATTTAATTATGTCTACCCTCATTTTTTTTTTATATTAGATATATACTTTTTAAAATAAAATTTAGACATATTTAATTGTGTTCACCTTATTATTGTGTTATTGTGATATCGATTAAGATCGACGACTACTTAAATAATAGTTAATTTTTAAATAATCTTATTGGAATTAATACATTATGATATTAAATCTAATAGTGAGTCTCTACATTTAATAACGTCTACTATTCATCCAATAGTTACAAACCATTGAGTTCATACCAATTAAATTTTGAATTTTTTTTGTCAAGATAAAAAATTAAATTTTGAATTAGATGTAATTATTATTATTCTTAAATTTTTATACATAGACATATCCTGTTCATTTTTTTAAATTATAGAATTATTTTTTTTATTGTATCAAAATGAACGCCATCATGTGATAAATTCCATGGTAATAAATGAAAGTTTATTATTACCATGTTGTATCTAAAAAAAAAGTATTTATTGATATCATTGATTTGTAATTCTTTTAAATGATAAACAATAATCAGATTCAATTATAAAATGATAATAATTAGTCTTATACGAAGTTTTAATTAATTTACTTTTATTTTTTGTTTGTTTATTCCATGCAAATCATTTTTTAACTTTTTATGTTTAATGAATTTTTACGCATAATTATAATAAATATGAATTTATAAACTTCTATGGTCCATTGAAAAAAACAAAAATTAAAAATGCTATTTAGATTTAATTTGATAACATAATTCAATGCACCCCTTTGATTAAAAGTAAACTTTATTTAACATTGAAATTTACAACTAAAATAACAATTACACTGAATTAAGTCTATAACATTGATAAAAAAAATAATTAAAATTTATTAATGTGCTCATCTTAAAATATTTTTCTGGCTCCCCACTAATAACACGTGTCCTCGACATGAGCGACCCTCGGCTTTGTCTACGAGTAACACGTGTCCTCGGAATGAGAAACCCCCAACTTTTTATATCAGTGACATGTGTCATCAATTTGTAATCCTTAGGGCTCTTCGTGACTAACACGTGTCTTTGGCATTAAGGACCCTTTGAGCATTGACATGATGACACGTGTCCTCAAATGTACCTAACTCCTCGAGGTCTTTACTAAATACTTCACCTTGGCTTTGGAACCATCGAGAAATGGATGACGGATTAACGGTCATCATTACTTGGAGTAAAAATTGGTCAATAATCATTGACTCACCTTCCCAAAAACAGTCAGAATGGTAGAAAGTATAGGTCAACGACCAATAATAGTGATACACAAGGTACAGAGTACAAAATTGGGGGGCCAATGGACAAGGTGCTCCTACTCGTGCACAATCATTACAAAGAGACATTAAATGACCATTCAGAAGGATGTGACATATTTATTGTTCGACTGACTTCGAGAGGAGTGCATTAAATGCTCGGGAATCTGAGCATTAAATGCAGACTTTTTTTTTCGTGTGACAAGGAAGACACTTTTCTCGGGGACTGTCCTCCACAGGTCACCTTCCAAATGAGCTTAAAATTTATTTATTTTTTTTAGATACAATATGAATTTTATAAATAAAAATTGCGTTAACCGAAATCAAATTCGGAGATCAAATGTAATAATACATGCTAGTTGTATAAAATTAAAAAAAAATATAATTAAAAATTAGTTTAACTAATTAAATGATTTTTCTCTGAATGAATATAAAAATTAAAATTTATACAAGTTGAGTGGTTCTAAAATAAATGAGACATTACAAGATATTGTAGAAAAATAGTATTATGTTTAAATAAGAAAATTTAATAAGACAACTATGTTTAATTAATTTCAGATAGTGCACTACTTTTATTCATTCTATTTTATAGTCATTATATGTATTATAAACAAATTAATCAAAAAATGACCTTTAATTTAATTTATAGAAATGTAAAATCATTATTCATACTTATTACTCCCTCCGTTTCTAAATATCTGTCGGTTAAGATTTTTACACAGGGATTAAGGAAGCTATTAAATAAATTTAATATGAGTAAAAAATAATTGCACAAGACTAAAATACTCTTATTCAATATATATTGAAAAAAGAAGGAATATGAAAGACACTTAGCCTCTACCAAATCTAATGCATTGAAAAGTTAAGGGTAAATTTGGAAGAAAAAATATTAATTATACTTTGGTTTCATTAAACGACAGATATTTAGGAACGAATGGAGTATATGATAGACAATTGATTTTAATAATAAAACTTCAAAGTGATAATACATATAATATAAATATCGAGTAAGATAAAAAAAATTAGGTTGAACTCTAGGCCCCTAATTTTTTTGCANTATCGAGTAAGATAAAAAAAATTAGGTTGAACTCTAGGCCCCTAATTTTTTTGCAAAAGGTTTTAAAAATTTTACGACAATGCTAATTGTACTTGATTTGAGTACTAAATATATTAGATAAATAATATATTTTGTTTAATGTTAGCACTCTATACTAATTCAATTGTTAAAATATATTGAATATTAAATTATATCACAATATCTAGATTGCATACCATTTTATAAAATTCTATTTTGGGACACCAAAATCTTCTTCTAATTTGGGGCGCTAGGCAATGGCGTCAGTGGCTTATAGGTTGGGCCGGCACTGCTTAAAACACGTGGACTTACGTAATATAGGCTGGGCAATCCTAGATATGTATCGTGACTTCCATATAGGCTGGGCAATCCTAGATATGTACCGTTAAATCGATATGAACTGGGCATGGATTTAATGAATTTGAATATAATTTTAACGGGTTCGGGTAGATAATGAGTTAATTTGATAGATCTATGAAATAAACGAATCGATTTTGTATTTAACCCATAAACTCATTTCACCCATTAATAGTAACACTATAAATTCAAAACAAAAAATTTATGTATCTTAGTCTCTGCATCATCTCACACTCCTCCCATCTCTCAAACTCATTTGAATTTAGTACTAATAATCATATTTTTTTTTTAATTTTTTGCTCAACCATGATTTATTATTACAATAAACAGGTCAAATATCTGTAATATGTAGTGAGTTGATATTTTTTGTGTGAACTTGAAATATTTTAATCGATTCTTTTATTTANTATTACAATAAACAGGTCAAATATCTGTAATATGTAGTGAGTTGATATTTTTTGTGTGAACTTGAAATATTTTAATCGATTCTTTTATTTAATAGGTGAAACATAAGTTGTTTCAGATAATTCGTCAAGTCGTGTACAAGTGTGATAGTTGGACCTGTTTATATAAGAAAATGAAGTATGAATAAAGAATTTTTTTATACGAAACTATTCACACGATTGCCNTTTTTTTTAATTTTTTGCTCAACCATGATTTATTATTACAATAAACAGGTCAAATATCTGTAATATGTAGTGAGTTGATATTTTTTGTGTGAACTTGAAATATTTTAATCGATTCTTTTATTTAATAGGTGAAACATAAGTTGTTTCAGATAATTCGTCAAGTCGTGTACAAGTGTGACAGTTGGACCTGTTTATATAAGAGAATGAAGTATGAATAAAGAATTTTTTTATACGAAACTATTCACAGACCTACTTTCATATAATCCCATCACCAACACTTTGTAAAAGCCCCAATTCAAAACATGTAATAGATCGAACTTTGATTTAAATTTGAATTTGAATAAAAATTTGTTTAGATGAACACAAGATGACATTTTTTTTGATAGTCCAAATCGGTTATATTATATTTCTTGAATTCAGATTTGAATATAATGATGCTAGCTGTAGCCATATATGATGCACGATATTTGTATCTTATGTCCTTCTATTACCTTNCAACACTTTGTAAAAGCCCCAATTCAAAACATGTAATAGATCGAACTTTGATTTAAATTTGAATTTGAATAAAAATTTGTTTAGATGAACACAAGATGACATTTTTTTTGATAGTACAAATCGGTTATATTATATTTCTTGAATTCAGATTTGAATATAATGATGCTAGAAGTAGCCATATATGATGCACGATATTTGTATCTTATGTCCTTCTATTACCTTTTTTTTTCTTCCTCCTCATCTCTCTTATCCCATTATTTACAAAACTCTAAAGTTAAGCAAATAATAATGAAAACTTAGAGATGATAGCAAGTTATTTTCAAAAAAATTCAAATGAAGAGTTATTAGTTAGTTTTTTTTTTTGGGGAGAGGGGAGAAGAGGAAGGGGATCTGAATCTTTAANTGTATCTTATGTCCTTCTATTACCTTTTTTTTTCTTCCTCCTCATCTCTCTTATCCCATTATTTACAAAACTCTAAAGTTAAGCAAATAATAATGAAAACTTAGAGATGATAGCAAGTTATTTTCAAAAAAATTCAAATGAAGAGTTATTAGTTAGTTTTTTTTTTTTGGGGAGAGGGAAGAAGAGGAAGGGGATTTGAATCTTTGATCTCAAGAAGATAAAAGTAAGAAGTACCATTGGATCAAAAGACCCATTGGTAAATTATTAGTTAGTAGAGGGGTTATTATACCACATATTGCAATTGCAATTGAAGTAAATGTATTAAAATAAAATAAAATTCTAAGAATTGAGA